CTTGGAGGGTAGACCCTTACCCCATCCTTGGAATGCCGAACACCTCAAGCAGTATTATCAATGAACGGGAAAAGTCTGTGACATATAAAGCCCATTTGTAATGTCAATCACACCAATGAAAAGGGACTTCCTATTTTTGAACATCTTGTTCAGAGTCCTAAGGAATCTTCCAAAGCCCTGCTACATTACGCAGGCTGATCTAAGGCTGTACGTATTACCCTTAGTGGACATTCCTCCGAAAAAATCTTACAAAGCTCTGCTCCATACGCAGGTCGATCTAAGGTCGTAAGTAGTGGACATTCCTCTTAAGGAATCTTACAAAGCCCTGCTACATATGTAGGCCAATCTAAGGTTGTACGTGTTACCCTCAGTGGACATTCCTCCTAAGGAATCTTACAAAGTCCTGCTACATACACAGGCCGATCTAAAGTTGTACGTGTTACGCTTAGTGGACATTCCTTCTAAAGAATCTTACAAAGTCCTGCTCCATACGCAGGCCGATCTAAGGTCGTAAGTACTGCGACCCTTAGTGGACATTCCTCTTAAGGAATCTTACAAAGCCCTGCTATATACGCAGGCCGATCTAAGGTTGTACGTATTACCCTTAGTAGACATTCCTCCTAAAGAATCTTATAAAACCCTGCTCCATATGCAGGTCGATCTAAGGTCGTAAGTGCTGCGACCCTTAGTGGACATTCCTCCTAAGGAATCTTACAAAGTCATGCTACATATGCAGGCCGATCTAAGGTTGTACATGTTACCCTTAGTGGACATTCCTCCTAAGAAATCTTACAAAACCTTGCTCCATACGCAGGCCGATCTAAGGCCGTAAATGCTGCGACCCTTAGTGAACCTTCCTCCTAAAGAATCTTACAAAGTCTTACTACTTATGCAGGCCGATCTAAGGCCGTACGTGTTACCCTTAGTGGATATTCCTCCTAAGGAATTTTACAAAGCCTTGCTATATACACAGGCCGATCTAAGGTCGTAAATGCTACGACCCTTAGCAAAAATTCCTATTTGGAAATTCTACGAAGCCCAGCAGCATGTGCAGGCTGATCTAGGTTCGCATGACTTACGAGTTCTGTCACATACGCTGACTAGAAGACATTCCATCATTAAAAATTCACGAAAGGATGAAATAAGTAATAAAATTTAGACCCCACAAAACATGCATTTTCATAAGCATTCAAAATAGAGTACGACTCATCTTCGAGCACAAACAAGATATCCATAAAGTTTAACAAATTCATCACAAATCCAAAAAATGTCCTAAGAAGAGCTAGGGGAAGAGTGGTCTTCGCGATGAGCGACATCATCTTCATGAGCAGGAGAAATCCGAACCCCTGCCGCTTCCGACAAATGCTGAAGCTCTTCATTCTGCTCTTCCACAGCCTTCTCAAGGAAACCCACGTCGAACCCTGGCTTGTCTCTACGAATGTGTTTTACTACTTTCTCCAGAGCCACGATGTAAGCATCCTAAGCAAGAGCGTCAAACTCAGAGGACAATGAGGTGGAAAATGAGATGAGAATGAGAATAGAATGGGAATCAAATAGGCGCTTAGGTAAAAGAATCTTCTGGTTCTTTAAAGGATGTCCATGTGAGTTGTTTATTATTCAATGCATCATTATAGCCCTAAATGTCCAAGTCGATCATACCAAAGTATAAAATTTTTTGGGTCAACGAACTTCTGGTTCGTGACATTATTTGATTCAATCATTTTTATAAATGTTTAATACATGCCAGATGGAAGTGCATGAAATCTTTCTTTTATTTGCTTCTGGCCAGATACAAAAGAAGCTATACAAAGATATTCGATATTATTTTCTTGTGTTGTCTCAATATGATATCCATTGCAACGGATATCTTTAAAACTAAGCAAATTTCTTTTGAATTTGTTAGAATAAAGTGCATCATTAATATATAATTTTGTATTATTTGGCAAAATAATATAACTCTTCCGGAGCCTTCAACGATATTCGATGCACCTGATATTGTATTGACGTTATTCTCTTTTAATGTTAAGTCCAAAAAATATTTTTTGTCTTGAAAAATATATGTAGTTGCATTATCAATCAAGCAGGTGTCTTGACAATCCATTATAAATATATAAATATAACAAAATAGATATATTTAAAAAAAACTTGAATTTAAATTCAAAATGATAAGCATAATTAATACTGTGAAATTAATGATAGATAATAAAGTTCAAAATTTTGTAAAAAGTAGAAACATATTTCAAACTAAATTTCTAAAATAAAGGGAAATACTAAATAAATAAATAAAAAGAAAACTAATCTATATCTTCCATCACACCACTCCAAATCAAATGGTCAATATTTTCATTTGGATCGGCAAAGTAATCGGAGATATTCAAATGAGTCACATCAATTGGACCATTGATAAGTGCAATTTGTGCATTTATTTAGGCCGCATTATTAAGTTTATATGCTGTCAATTTATTAATTTCTATTTAACTTGGGTTAATTTTATTTTGATTTTAGTGACGAACCTGTTTGAAGCAAGTGGAAAGGAAGGACATAATTGATTAAAATTTATGATTTGGGATTAAATTCCACAAGTTTGAAATTGAGGAGGATATTGGTTGCACAAATAAAATTCATATCAAGGATTAGATTTCATTAAAAGGAAAAAGTAATGCCTTGAATTGAAATATCTTATTAATTGGGCTGGTCCAATTGATATAAGGCAGACACGTTGATGAAATAAGAGAAGAAGTGGGGTTCTTTTGAAAATAAAATAGGGTTGGCTGATGAATTATATATATCAACACACAGACGGCTAGAAAGGAGGGGAAAGAGAAAAAAAAAGGACTGTCGGCTGGTTGAAATTACTCATACAATCATGTGAATTGCCGGCTGCTCGGGATAGATTATACACGCATCAATAACGGCTAGTGGGGGAGACAAAAACCATATAAAATGGGGCTGCCTTCTGCTGGAAGAAACTATCCTCATGCATTAGAAAAGAGAGGGGAAGTGGAGAACAATTGCCGGCTGCTGGTGAATTAAAACAAGTTGTTGAATTTATCAATTCATACACTAGGTTGGTGGCTGCAACTTTGGAGATACAAATCACGCAATTTGGCGATGACCTTGGGGGAGAAAAAAAAACATTGACAACAAGCTTAAGGAGGGTTGTTTCTGCTGTAATATATATACATACACGCATATGAGTGGCTGGAAAAAATTGTAGAGGGAAAACCTACAAACATTGGATGATTTCTGTGCTTGTTTGGAGAAGACAGGGCTGCCTTTTTGCTAAGTAAATATATATACCAGCCAACAAAAGACAGGAAAGTGAGGATTTAAGGAAACATGCAAACAATGGCCGAAAATTGTAAATCAAGTCTGGAAAAAAATTGCAGCTGAATTGGAGTTTTTGGAAAGAATATTGGGTGGCTACTGTTGGAAAAATAAGGTGGCAGCTTAGGGAATTATTGAGAGATACACACAATTAAAAGGCAGTTGCTTGGAGATTGATTTACACACCAATTAGGGGACAAAGGCGACGGCTGAATTGGGCATAAAGTTGAGAAATAAACACGCAAATTGAAGGAAATTTTGAAGAAACAGCATGGCCACGACAGATTCACTTTGGGAAAATTAATAATGCTCCGTCAATTGGTGATCTCCTTCCACTTTTATTTATTTAATTCTCGCATCATGTTTTGCTAATTCCTTTTCACGAATTGGATGATGACAAAATTGTTTAATTTTTAGTTTTAATTCGAGACCTATGTTTTTATATTAATCATTGCGTTGTGATTTCAATAATATGCATAAGTAGATTGTTTTAATGTTTGCGCACCATTAGGATAATAAGTTGCTTTTTCGTAGTGTTGGAAAACTCACGATAGGTAGAACACTATTATTGGGACACATGGGCAATAAATATTAGGAATAATATTTGTGGCATGTGCGATCTTATATGATAATCCTAAATGTCAATGCATGTTTGCCATATGAATTTGGACTAAAAATAGGATCGTTGCAAATGCATAAATTGAGATAATTATTATTGGTTGAGAATTAGAACTAAGAATTGATCAATGGCGTCGGAAATCCAATATGTTTACACATTTGAATTTTTAAACCAAATTTAATTATTTTCACAAGTTTTAGTTATAAAAATTATTTAGTTATTCCCTCGATTGTAATACGAATTAAATATACCAAATATACTAAAATTGATCCTTATTCCCTGTGGGACGATAACTCTCTCATCACGATTATTACTTGTACAACAAACTCATACGCTTGCGGGATTTTGACGAACAACCATCATAGTCAGCAAAATTTATCTCCACTTTTCCCTTTTCCTTAATTGATTTTTAGTAGAGATCGACAATGTATTTTGCCATACGACAGGTACGTGTCCAATGCCTTTTCATTCCACATTTAAAATAACTTTCTTCATGTACCCTTTTAGGTATGCTACTTTCATTTAATTTGTGTCTTTTGAAATTGTTGCCTTGTTGTTGATAACTTTGTTGATTATTTCGTTCATGGTTTACTCCGCGTGCACGTTCGCGTCTACATTCAAATCCACGTCCATATCCATATCCATATCCATGTCCACGTCCGTGTCCTTGTCTTGATATTGCATTTGCTTCAGGCAATAGTACAGAACTAGTTGGACATAACCCATGATTTTTCATCAGCAATTCATTATTCTATTCAGCAACAAGCAGGCAAGATATAAATTTTGAGTACTTCTTGAAATCACGCTCGCGATATTTCTGCTGTAGGAGCACATTCGAGGCGTGAAAGGTGGAAAAAGTTTTCTCCAACGTATCTTTATCAGTGATTTTTTCTCCACACAATGTCAATTTTGAACATATTCTGAACAATTCAGAATTGTACTAGCTAACAGTTTTGAAATCTTGCAAACGAAGGTGCATCCACTCATAACGGGCTTTGGAAAGGACTATAGTCCTTTGATAATCAAATCTTTCAATTAATTTTTTCCAAAGAACTTATGGATCTTTCTCAGTAAGATTTTCAATTTTCAGTCCATCGCGAAGATGATGACGAAGGAAGATGAGTAATTTTGCATGATCCTGCAGGAATTTTTTATTTTCTTCTTTTATTGTCTCTCCCAAACCTTTTGAGATAAGATGGATATCAGCATCAAGTACCCATGACAAATAATTTTTGTCAGAGATGTCAAGTACAGCAAACTCAAGCTTTGTGATATTTGCCATTCGATTAACTATACAATAAAGTAAAAGAAAATATAATTAGTTTCAAAAAATATGATTAAACATCATATAATAACTAATCAAGTAGTCAATATCAATATAACATAAGTTACGTGTTTTCCTTCAAGAATAAACACTAAAATAATATGTTCTTTTAAACATATGCCACTTCAAGAACACGTATTTTATTATTATTTCTTCAAGATCAATACGTCAATATTCTTCTGAAATATTGAAAAAATATAATTTATGCTCTTCATGAGCAAATAATATTATTCGAAAATATTAATTATAATGTTGTGCTACTTCGAAAGCAAGGACAAATTATTTATAATAAATAAATAAAGTACTAAATTCATAAATTATACTAGTGTTAAAAGAATAGAATGTGATAATTAATTGAATGACAAATACTGTTTCAACAGACATAGTTACATGTGAAATAATATAAAATCATTACACAATTTTTATTTTATTTTATTGAAAGATGTGATGTTGGATATTAATTTCTGTTTTGCACATAAATTGAGAAAATACATGAATAACTCTTGAAAAAAAATTGATGGAACAGCATAGATCGGATGAATTCATACACTGATATGACATTAATAAAAAAAAAATAATGGTTGGAGTGTGTCTATGCAATAATGGGCAGCAGAATCAAAGAACAAATTTAGGCAGGTCACGTAATCATTTCGACAGAAATAATATGATTCCAACGTAAAATTCACGTGTTATCAAATTAATTTTGATACACGTGATAAATAATTATACTTAAAAAAATTACTACATTCTCCAAACTTTGAAAAATTAAGCTATCGTGTTATAAAATTAAAGTGAAGAGAGAATAAAAGAAGAAATAAAGAGTTAAAACTCAATTGTGTATTACTATGAACTAATGTCCTATATTTTGTCCAAAATAAAAGTTACATTTGGAATAAAATAGATCTTCTAAACTATATATTAGATTTATCCATATATCATGATAATACTAAATAATCATCAATAATTATATCATTATTTTACAACACTTCCTACCTGCTTTTAAAATTGAGGATTTTAACACTATAAATTCCTGTAATTTCCCAGTGGCTGCGAGCAAAAGGGGGCTGGGCCCATTTTCCGTACTAGCATCAAGTAGAAGACCTTTAAGGATTAATTGTTTTTCAATGACTAAGGGGTAAGGGTTCGCTTCTTCCTATTCAAATTCATCCAAGTTTTGAAGAACTGCTTTTACTCTCAAGAATTGATCTATAATATGTGGTGGTGTATTTTTTTTTTTGCGCCATAGGATCCTCTTTTGTCAAGAGCGTGTGGCCGAGTTGGCAAAGGGCATGGCCTTGGAAACTGGGTTTGGCTTCGATAAGGGTTCAACCCACGCTTGAGACATCCGCCTTCTCCTTGGAGAAGATTTAACCGGTTGGTGTGGTTGCGGGTCTCGTGCTAGCCCCCAGGTTTACCTAGTGCGCACTGGTCGCTAGTAGCGGCTGCGGGTTCCTGGGTTATCAAAAAAAAAAAAAAAAAAAAATGCGCCATAGGATCCTCTTTTGGTCTTGAGAGGCTTGAAATGTATATAAGAGTCTAAAAAGATCTAAAAATATGTTCAAGATACTCTGATTCGTCCAAACTTAACCTTTCAAAACAAATCGGGAAGTTGTCTTTTAGGGTGGGCCTACGCATGAAGGATTGGTGTCTAAGCGCAACAACTTATGTGCCAAAATACTGTATGGTCTTATTCACAAAGGATTGCCTATCAAAGTTTGTTGGTTTGAGTTCTGCTCTTATTCTCGAGTGGCTTTCTATAATTCACATTCAATTTTTGGTGGAAAATTTAAAATTGCAATCCATTTTTATGTTGAACTCCGCATTCAATTGTCTTCTAATGTTATATCATTTGACATGTGGAGATCTTTGAATCATTCTTGAATGCCTTAGCCACCTTTCCTTATGTTCAAGTCCCGGTTTTTGAATATCCGTTCTTTTAATCCTTTTAATGTCCGAAATCAATTTGTTTTGCTTTAAACATCCTTAAATCGCGATTTTGCCTTACAAACATCAAGTACTATATAAAGTAAGTAGAAATTCCGTTCAATTAATTAAAATTTTAAGATTTAGATTAAAGTATGTATCATCAATTATTCTCTATTTGGTAGAGATTGAAATCAATTTTTTAGCAAATTTAGATTATTTGATAAAAATTGATGAAATATGTGGTTGAAAAGTTATGGATCCTATAAAATATGTGATTAAAATTAATTGTTGATTTTGACTTAATTAAAATCTAAATTTTAATTTTTACCAATAGGGATAAACTATAATATACGTTGCTTGATCACAAATTAAATATTCTGGATTTTAATTTTTACAAAACAGGGTCTAAACTATAACATACGTTGCTTGCACCAATTAAATATTCTATGAGACAAACGTTGTAACTTAAGGATACACTATTAAATAAAGTCTAAAATTGTAATTGTAACAATTGAGGGTCAAGAAAAGAATATGGTTGGTGGCTTGGTGCCAGTGTTTATGTTGGACTTGTACTGTTTGTATATGGTTATTTAACAGTTAACTGAACTTACGAATACTTGTAATTAGCTTATAATTCTTTAGTGCAATCTTAAGTTTTCGGGGGGTGGATTGGACCAACTCAAAATAACAACTTATAATCTAATGAATCAATAATGAAGTGGATCTAAATTTGAATCATTGAAGTTAAATTCCGTAGATTTATTAGTTTCTCAGCTAAAACGTGTTTAGTCAAGCTTAAATGCACTTTTTTATTTTTTTTTCTTCTTATGATAGAGGAACCTGCAGCCACTACTCTTCGAGTACGCACTGGATAAACTCTCGAGCTAACGAATAGCCTGTAAACCACGTTAACCAGGTAAACCGCACTAGGTAAGCTCGATGCGATAGGCTCGATCGAGAAAGTGTTGGTCGGAAGAATTGAACTCGTGACCAAAAATCTTTGCACTCATATACTCTACCAACTCGACCACCCCATGAGGGGGCAATACACATTTTTTTTATTTTTTATTTTTATATCCAGGTATCCCAACTTACACCAGACTAAATTTTGGACCTCCAAGATCCAGGCCCCTAGAACCTTGGAGGGGGTAAATCGCGGGTTATGCCTCAACTGGATCACAGGTTCCCCCCATTGACTGTACACTTCTGCGCACAAGAGACCCTCCTCCACAGTGACTCCTCCATACCAAATTTTTGGCCGCAGGTTCCCACCAGGAAACGAACTGTCCACCTTGCCACTGGAAGCAAACCAATGCTGATTGATCCACCAGTTGAACTGTGCCCCGGGGGGTGGTAATACACATTCTTCATAGCATATAAAGTGTCTAGAAGGTAAAGATGTCAAAATGGGTATGATGATAAGATTGATCCCTCTACAACTAGACCTAGTTCAATTTCGTTAAGTTTGAACCAATCCATTTAAAAAATATATATATAGTTCGGGTTAGGCTTGAATAGTCTTTCTAAAAACCGAATGAGTCCATGAATCTGTCAATATTACGTCCAACTCTTTATTTTTCTTTTTCCTTTTGGAATTTAATATCATTTAAATTAAATCATAATTGGAAAAAAAATAAATAGTGTGACTGATATGAGATTGTGAAATGTATAGAAATAACATAAGCATTTGCAGCAGAGAAATTTATTCTTTATAAATTATTCGTACTTGAATTTTTAAAGAGAGCCATCTGGGCGGGAAATTGAAATAACCGCGCTAAATGCATCGATCTTCAAAGGTCATCTAGCTAGACAATCAAAATTGGCACGGCCCATTCATTATGGTGAACCAACCTTTGAAGCAGTTCGAGCCATTTTGCTCTGATTTTTAATAGATTGGGTCACTCCGAGCCCAAACTACGAAGCCCGCCTTTGACACAAAACAAATGAAAGTCTATGTTGCTACCAAATTTTCTTAATCATTTTTTGTTTGAACTTTAAAATGGTTGTCATTTATTCATTTATTTTTTTTTTTTACCAAATATTTCTCTTACTATTGAACATTAAAAGTTATTTGAGTTGCTATTAAATTTATCAAAATAAATAATAATATCCCATCCTTCACGGTTTATACGGACGGGATGAAATTACAGAAATGTTAACTATCTTGTAATTTCAACTATCACACAGTAAAGTCTATTAACTTTTAAAACAACAAACGACGAAGTCATGGATGAAATAACAGCTCAGATAACTTTAAAATTAAATGGCAGTTATGAAACATTTCAAAAAGTTCAATAGAATCTCGAAAATATTTAAAAATTTTGATATTAAAAAAATATTTGAGGAAGTTCATTGACAACTGAATATTTAACCCATTAAATAACACATACATCAAGCTTTCATTTTCCATTGCTTCACATCATATTTATTTTTCTATTAAATTAATTATTATTTCCATTGACAAACTTTAATAACTTGTATAGGGGTTTGTAGAATTGACTTTTCTGATCCCTTCAATCATTGTTCTAAGTGCCAAGTCCAAATTATATGGTTTGTCCGAGTTGTTTACAGTAATATATTAGCCAGGTTGCTTTTGCTTGTGAAATTACTCCACCTGCTTGCTTCTCCATCAATTCAACACAGTTGACCTCCATATTTTGCCAATGGAATTTGGGATGATTGCTGGTTTGTTAGTAATCTTGAAATTTGATTTTTCGTTTGAACCAATGGATCCATACCATTTTGAGATTTCATTTTAGAAGATCGATCTTATTAAGAGAAATAATCAAAGTTCTTATTCGTATATTTACTGATTTATAACAAAATTTTGAGGTTGACAAACACTAATTAACAAATCCGTGATGTCTTATTAAAACCTGCCTTGCCACGACAAAAATAGTACCATATTTCTATCTTCCGGCTAATTCCTACATTGACCTGGCTCTGTGCGAGGGAATCCATTAGTTCCTGGATACCCTTCTTAAACCAATCTTCTCAATTTTGTTTTCTGTTGCAAATTTGAGTCTTAGAGGGTTAGATGAATATCATTTAAATCTTGTCCTCAATGTAACGGATGAATGATGCTGCCCAGTTTTAGCAATTCCGATCATCACTTGCCGAAGAAATCCAATACACAGGACCTCAGAAACAGTACCTTCTCCTTAATCAAATCTCTCTTTTCTCTGAAAAACTGCGCATGGATTGTGTTAACAATACTCATACAGTTGCTGATTGTAGTATTCTTGAACCGGGCTTCGCTATGGCCATCGACTCTACCAGCAATCCAGGACAACTTTCAGGCTCCTTCACACGAAAAAGATTGTGAATTCGGAACAGTATATGTTTATGATCTTCCGCCGGTTTTAAACAAAGAGCTTATTGAAAATTGCCAGGACTTGGACCCTTGGCCATGGAGTTCCAAGTACTGCAGTGCCGTGTCAAACGGAGGTTTTGGCCCCAGTGCCACTGGCCTAGATGGCATAGTTCCTGAAAATCTTATTCCAGCATGGTACTGGACCGAGATGTATGCGGCTGAAGTCATTTACCACGAGAGGATTTTGAGTTACAAGTGTAGAACAAGAAATCTAGATGAGGCAACAGCCTTTTACATTCCTTTTTATGTGGGACTTGCAGTTGGGAAGTATTTGTGGTTCAATCACACTGCAAAAGATCGTGATCGACATAGCTTGATCATGCTGAATTGGGTTAAGGATCAACCATCCTGGAAGAGAACCAATGGCTCTGATCATTTCATCATGCTAGGCAGATTAACTTGGGATTTTCGAAGATTGCACGACAGTGACACTGAATGGGGAACAAGCTTCATTTACATGCCCTTGATGAAAAATGTTTTGCATTTAACTGTTGAGAGAAGTCAGTGGGATGAACTAGAATTCAGTGTACCTTATCCTACAGCATTCCATCCTCGATCCCAATCTGATATCCAGCAATGGCAGAGCTTTATCCGGGCCAGAAAACGCTCAAGCCTTTTCTGTTTTGTTGGTGCGACGCGTAAAAGTTTCAAGAATGATTTTCGAGGGCTGTTAATGAATTATTGCAAGAATGAATCAGACTTCTGCAGGCTTGTGGATTGTTCAGTAACACACTGTTATGATGGTGCACCAGTAATTCTCAAAACATTTCTTGATTCGGGTTTTTGTTTGCAGCCAAAAGGGGATGGTTTCACAAGAAGGTCTACATTTGATTGCATGCTGTCTGGTGCAATTCCAGTATACTTTTGGGAGGGAAGTTTTAAAGATCAGTACCAATGGCACTTACCAGGAGCAGCAGAGGCTTATTCTGTGTTTATTGATAATAATGGAGTGAGAAATGGTACTGATATTAGAAGTGTGTTGGAGAGGTACAGTAGAGAGGAGGTGAATAAAATGAGAGAGACAATTATCGATTTCATGCCCAAGTTTTTGTATTCAAGTTCAAATGCGGATTTGGGGAGTGTTAAAGACGCGTTTGATATAGCCATGGACGGAGTTTTGAGAAGGTTTATGGAGCAAAAGCGATCGGCATCTGATAAAGAAGTAAATACTTAAATAGGAAGAAAAACTTAAACCTTAGAACTACACAAATTTCATGTTGCCATTTGTACCTTTTTTCCTCTTCTTTTTCACATTTTTATGTACCTATATTTCTATTACAGAATACACAATATGGTAAAAAATCGTTTTTGCACTTACAGATCAAAATAGAAAAGGATTTTCCTAGTGTGACATTGAGGAGTAAATGGTTCGAAGAGGTTGCATTTTACCAGCACTTAATTCTGTTATGGTTTCTTGCCACCACATATATTACACAATACACATCCAGCCCACAGTCAGCCCATTCAAACAGCCCAGAATACAACTCCAGTCCATATTACAAGCTGCTCCGATACATCACTCAAGGATGAAAAAGGATAGTCTATTTTTCATATATTCTGGATATTATTCTTTAGTCATTGTAAATATTTTCCTTCCATAAATTGTGAATAGATTTTAGGAAATATTTACGGTTAGTTTGTTGTGGGATTGTGTATATAAAGGTATGAGCACTGTACAGAATTTTTCAATGGAATATACTTGAAAATTCGCAGCATCCATGTGTTAATCATCTCTACACCTTTGTGTTTTTGCTTCTCTGTTTTTTGCTTATTTACAACACATGGTGTCTAAATTTGGGTGGCGGTCTCTGTTGTACAGATACGCGAATAACTTTGAACGTAGTTAAAATTGAGGTCAAGGTAAAACAATTAAATTTAATCATATATTTTAAGGAATTCACAACTTTTATTAACTTTTCTACTATATATTTAATCGACTTTTATCAAAATATACTAAATTATTTATTAAAAACTTTGTCAAACAACTCCTAAATTTCTCTTACTTTTTATTCAACGTACACTGTTGAAGCAATCAACTTGTTAAAAAGTACTTACTTCACCATACAAAATGCAGTTAGCTGTATAGCATAATCACTTCAACTAATTTTTATCAAGTTAAATACTTAAATCACTAATCCCTGGTTTGTTGGATTTATAATCAGAAACTGTTTCTGCAGCAAGACTTTGAGAAAACAATCAAGAGGGGGCCATAAATAACTCATCTTTTGAATAGAATAATCAATTATACATTTTAAAATTATTTATTCTATTTCTTAATGCAATGTACTTGTCTAATAGTGATATAACAACTCCTAGGCTTTGTCTATTGCATAAGCTTCACAACTTGAGAACATTTTTTTTTTTGGTTGAAAAGTAGTAAATCAATATTTTCTGGTATATGTATTGAGAAAGAATATCAGAAAAGTGGAGTCAACACCAATGTATCATTCACAAAATAATTTTTGAACATGGTTCTATAAATAAAGATTCTATAAAAGATTACAAGTATCATCTAAATTTTATTTTCAACACATTCCGTCACATGTAGACAAAGTCATTTGTCGAAACGAGTAATGATAAGACTAGAACTCAAGATATTCATTTGCTATGATACATTCTCAAGTCTTTTTTATTCATTTCTAAACCATAGCGACGTGAAAATCGTCGGCGGTTGTAGTATAATCATCCTGTTCGAAGATCATAGTGTTGTAGTGGCGAACTACGTGGTCATTTTTGTGGTGTTGGTGGTGAGGTTGTGATTGACTATGAAGGTGGCAGCGACGATGGTTGTGGTGTAGTGGTTGGTTTCTGTGAGTGTCTGTTTTTGTGAGTTTTGAGTGGGTTTGGATGCTGTTTTGTGTGGTGGTGGTGATGGTGTTTGTGTGCAGATAGAGATACTAGCACTGATGGTGGATTTGACAACTGTTTTGTTAATGGTGCAAGTGGAGGTGTTGATGGTGGTAGTGGCTGATGGTGGTGGTATGTGGTGCTACCGTGTCGGTGAGCGGTGGCGGTAGCAATGGCGGTAGTGTTGATGTCGATTAACCATTTATTTGGTTATAAGTGACCAAGTATCAAACCGTGATCTTAAAATTTGGTAACCTGTGACTGAAATATAATTTGTGACCAAAGTTTGAAAATCTGTGACCGATAATAAATCGTGATCGGTAATCTTTTTGATTTGTGACCAATGGAATAAATTGTGACATATAAAATATTTGATTTGTAAACTTGAAATAATCTGTGACTTACAAAATTTTTGATTTGTGACATCGGAATAATTTATGAACAATTAATTTCATAATATGTGATTAGTAAAAAAGTTGTGGCCTATAATTATGTATATGTGACCATTAATCTTTGTTTGGCTCCCATTTTTTAAATGAAAATAGGTGGAATAATATTATTTTAAAAATAAGTGGTTGAAAAAAAAATAATTTTTTTATTTACGTGTAATATTAAATTTATGAAAATTTTGTAGTTGAAAATAGAAAATAGAAAAATGAAATGTAATTTAATGGGGGACAAACGGGGGCTAATTATATATTTGTGACTTTATTAAATTTAATTAATAAATATTTTTAATTAATTAGCTAATATATGAGTTTAGCATTTGGAAACTTGATATCTGCAAAATTGAATTTGTTATACTTAACCCTTGACATTTGAATTTTTCACTCGTCTAAAACTTAGAAGGCTCAACCTAGCTGCGTTTGATTACAAGCATAAATTTTGTATAAAAAGAAAATAAATTTTAGGTAATTCAATTGTCTAAAACTTATTTATATGGAAATTGTTACTTATATATGTTTGATTAATATAATTTTCAACCTAATATATATTATACTTGTTCGATTTTTATTCGTGGATAGATGAGAAAGAGAAAAAGAGAGCGAACTCCCTCAAAATAAAATTCTAATCCCCCTAAAGAATTTTTTTTCCTTGATTATGAGGAAATTATGATCACGTGGCAAAAAAAAGAAAATATTTAAAAATGTCAGTGAGTCAGTCAAACATCACAAAAGTAGGAATTTGAGTGGAAAAAATATTTTTCATGGAAAATATTGACAATAAAAATACCCTAAATTTAACTCGAACTGATAAAAAAATTCAGGGTGATTAGCACAAAAAGGTTCCTATCATACAATGTTATTGTGCAAAACGTCCATACTTTTTATTTTTTGATATTTTCACCCCTACATTTTCCCTCTTCATTGAGCAAAGGTTTTTTTCCAATAAAATGACGATTTTACCCTCGTATACAAATAAAGCAAAACGAAAATATGAATTACTAACTACAATCATAGTCATTAAGTTTTTAAAAAATTACAAAGAAATCATAAATTCTTTCACCATTACCACTTTGACAACCTACCAAGCTACCACCTATAGATCCACATAACACCACCTTTCGACCACCATGCCCACTGGATTCCACCACCAACAACCTCCTCTCACTCCCCAACCGTCCTTCCACACACGAATTTGAAAGATTGGAGCACTTAGGATCCACCAATTTTGACCAGACAGCTCTCGCGCGTGCATCGCTTCGGTAGAAAGTTTTAGACTAGAAATTGAAACGGTTGAGGAGATAATTTGTTCAATTAGATTCATTTCCATTGTCGTTTGGGTTTGTTGATGATTCGATTGATGTCCATTTAGGGATTTAATGTTGTAATATGCATGAATTGAAGGAGAAGAGTTTGGCAAAATAGATGTCGTGATTGTCGAATGTTCTAGAATTATAACAAAATGATTTGAGGCAGTTTTAATTGATGTGAGGCCATGTATAGATTTGTCGAGGTGAAAGGTAACCGTCGATGGTGGTACGCGACCGTGGGTGGCGTCGAAAGTGGGATTGCCGTGAAGAGTTGTATACGACAATTTAGTATTTTGAGCTATAAATGTGGTTGTTTCAGAGAGATTGGTGATCGATATTGTGGAGGAGGATGTAGGGGAGAGTGAGGCGATGCTGGTGGTGGTGGAGTCCAATAGGTGTTGTGCCCGGAAGGTGGTGCTATGTGAATCTATAGCTGATGGCTTGGTGGGGTTATGAAAGTGGTGGTAGTGTAGAATTTAGAACTTATTTGTAATATTTTGAAAAATTCAGGACTATAAGTGCAATTAGTTATTTATTTTTATTCTATTTTATTTTTGTTTATTTGAATAGGAAGGTATATTTGTCATTTTATTGAAAAAAAAAAAGGATGAAAAGGGTTTTTATGTAATGAAAGGTAAAAGGTAAAGATGAAAATATCAAAAAATCAAAGGTAAAAGACGTTATGCAAGAAGCAGGACCTTTTGTCCTAAATGCCCAAAAAATTTCACTCTTAATAATCTGATCGACTGATCCCATACCCTTGGCCTTTCCCAGCATCGCGTCACGTCACCGTGCCAAAACCCCACCTCAGCTCCTGCCCCCCTTGGGGCTTTTGGTGATCCCCACCAACAAATAGAGCCAAAGAAACTCTGGAAATTTGGGCGTTTAATTCTACAAAGTTAAGG